AAGAAAAGAGCGTTCAGTCCCCACCCTTCAGCTGCTTGGCCCCCAACTCTATTACTGTTTTGGCAGTGTTCAACTTTCCCAGTGCTGTAACCGTTTAATACAGCTCCTCAGGCTGTGGTGACCCCCCCCCAGTCGTAAAATTATTATTTTTTTAAATATTTATTTATTTATTATGTATACAATACTCTGTGTGTATGTCTGCAGACCAGAAGAGGGCACCAGACCTCATTACAGATGGTTGTGAGCCACCATGTGGTTGCCGGGAATTGAACTCAGGACCTTTGGAAGAGCAGGCAATGCTCTTAACCACTGAGCCATCTCTCCAGCCCAGTCGTAAAATTATTGCATCGCAACTTCATATCTGAAATTTTTCTACTGTTATGAATCGTAATGTAAATATCTGATACGCAGGATATTTGATATGTGACCCCCCCAAGGAGTTGCGGCTCATGCATTGCGAACCATTGTTCTAAGGTATCATGCCTTGTTCACAGTATGCCATGGGACTTATCCAGCGTGCGTAGATTAGTTGCTTATCACATATAAGTTAAAACACAAGTTCCAAGGCAGATAAGGCAAAATTGCAACAATAAGCAAAAGAAAGCAGACGAGAGAAGTAAGTGCCTGCCTGTATAGAATAGTGATGCACCTTCTGTAGCATTAGAAGGATTGTCTCTGCACCCAGACCTCTGGCCCTGCCTCTGGTCTACAAAAACAATCGTCTTCAGGTTGGGCTCATGTTGCAAACAGCTTGAAGACATGAGCAGTCTCACACCTGTTCTTAGGAAAGCAAGCCCACACACGAGTCACCCTGACACCTGGGAATGACTAAGTCAAGAGATGTGGTTTCATTTGGGGATGTGATAAGTTGGATATGCTTATGCTATAGAGACAGACCTGTTGGCAGTCAATAAGGAAGCTTGAGACTTGGGAAAGAGATAAGGTTGACTCTACAAATTTGGGAGTGTTTGTCCTGTCCTTCTGATTGATGGATGGGTTTTAAAAAACATACAAGGTAGTTTCCAAACTTTGGATTCCCAGCAGTACTCCAGGACCCATCAGTGAAGAGACAGTTGTCAAATAGAATACTCTGGAACAGTCCTTCAGTGACTTGCCTCCCAGCTGAGTTCCTGGGAGTCTAACTTGTCTCCCCAGTTCTTTCTTTTCCCTAACATGAAAGACAGGTAGGGGTGAGCTGGGGATACCCACTGGCACCCAATCCTAATGACTTGGCCTTCATTTCTACTTGCCACTTAGTGCTGCACAGTCTACCCCCTTGTCTTGCTCAGCGTGACATATCCATGCTGCCTTATTCAATAGCTTATTAGCAGATGAGGTGTACCTTCCTCCCATGATTAATTCAGAGTCCTGCTGGGAATTGAGATAAAGCACCTGCCTCTTTGGCTGTGGGGTCTTTTGGGAGCTCTATAAATTTGCATCTTGGGTTTATGAAGGAAAGACAGAGGGAGAACGGAATTCTCGCCAATTATAATAACCCATCTCCCGTGGGCTTTCAGGCACAGCTTGCCTTACAGTTTTTCTCCCACAGTTCAGGCTAAATCATTTGACCTCGACTGAGGAATTTTAAATATTTTAAAGAGTCAGTTTCCTCCCCTAGATTTAGATGGAATTCTAGGAGATTGTCGTTTTGCAAAAGCAAATCAATTGACTCTCAGCAGCATCATCCCGTTCCGTCTGCCGAGAGCTAAGGATGGAGGCCCTGGGTGAAAATGGAAGACACTTTAGGCTTTGAATAACTCGACACTGATCTTTCAAATATCTTAATTCAGGTCACCCACACACCACCTCGAAAACACACCGCAGTGGTTGATGGTTGTTTGTTCTTTGTTTGGGATGTTACACAGTCAGTATCAAGATCCTGCAAGATGCTTTTGCTCAGGCCATACTCTGTTTTTCAGTTGTGAAGGGGTGGAGAGCAGCTTCCTCCTCCTCGCCTCCCCTCAGTTTTTTATTTGTTTTGTTTTGTTTTTAAAGACAGGATCCTCATTCTGCCGCCCTTTCCATCCTCTTCTTAACTTTCTAATTAGGTCACGCTTCTCCCCCTGGGATTCCTTATGAGCAGAGAATGAAGAACCACCCACTGACTGTGCACACCTGTACTGTACCAGACTCTCCACTGAATATTTATGTTCACCATATCCTCCAGTTATGAACAATAACCGTAAGGTCGGAATTACTGCCTTGTTTTTATGAGGACGTCTGAGGCTCAGAACCATGTTCCTGGTGGCCTCTTTTTTTCTGGGCAGGGAAACCCTCTGAGTCAAATCATCCATCTGCTGAGGAAAAAGAAGGCGATGAGGTGGTGCGCCACTGCCCAGGTGGTAAATGGGGGGACATTTGAGACACATCTATCTCTGTCTCACTGGGCAACACTGGTTTCTGTTTCTCAGCAAGGAAGCAAGGATGGCAGCAGGGCACCTTCTGGGTGGGTGGGTGGGGGTCTTTGTAGTTTCCACTCAGCTAGCGCACAGGCTGCAGTGTACCATAACATTTATCTCTGGATGACCTGTCAGAAAAAGTGGAGCCGTTAATGAGCGATCAGCGAGTGGTCTAAAGCCAGAGTCTCCACTGAGAGTGGCTTTGCAATGAGCAGCTTGTCTACGGACACTTTTCTCGTCACCTTTGGGCGCTCCCTGACCGTCTAGCAGACAGAGATGATGAAATACCCCGCAATGCGGGACAGCCTCTCACAGCAGCCCCACATGGGGACAGTTGGTGATGAAAAAGCCTCACCTAAAGAGCCCTTGTAAACATTCATTGAGCCCGAAAAGCAAGCTGATTTGATAAGGGCTCGAGTATGTTGAGAGTATACAGCCTCACCTAAAGAGCCCTTGTAAACATTCATTGAGCCCGAAAAGCAAGCTGATTTGATAAGGGCTCGAGTATGTTGAGAGTATACAGCATTGTATGCATCTATTTGTAAACAGGAGTTATGATGAAATCATGAAAGTAATTTATAAATGGGAGCATTTTTTTTTTATCATTATGAGAATCTTCTGCAGTTTCCAGAAGCTACAGTGGAAGTATCCTTTTGATAGGAAGTAATGTGTCAGTCTGCAGAGTGGACTGATCAGAGCCGAGGGAGGAGACAGCCACTCGGGATTGGCGGAAAGTGAAGACACGCCAGGCGCTATTGTTTTATCCCTTTTACTGTATCTTTTGCTTTATGTAGTGAGTGGTACAGCCGCCGTTGAGCTATTGACTCACATCTACCTGGATATTGCTTTCGGAAGTATGCATATGACAGTCTCAAACACACACACGCACACACACACCCCTACCCCACCTCCACGAGCCCCCCATAGCCCTAGGGTCTCATCACAGCCAACCGTGACTGGGGAAGTTTCCATCAGAGGGTCTCGATTCTCTGCAAGGAAACAGCGTCAGACTTTTTCCCAGAATTCTCTGCCTTCTTCCTGAACTCTTCTTTTCCTCTCTAAATTCTTTTTACTTTGGACAATCTCTAGCTGTTTTATTAAGAGACCATTTTATAGAAATCACTGTCCTTTCCTGCTTCACAAAGAAAAGCTGCTTAGAACAGTATCAAGTACTATTTTTTACAAGCACTTAAGAAGATGATGGTAGCTCCTTATCAAGGGTCAGGGAAGGCTAACCTGACCCTTACCTGGCAGTTCGGCCTCGCACAAGCAATCAGGCCTTTCCTCCTTCTCCATCACGAGGGTGTTGGCGTGAACGGTGGCTGCTTCCAGTGCGTTACTGCTTCACAATTGTGATAGCCAAGTCTTCAGGGCTTAGGGAGCTCAGTCTAACCTACTGCTCAGAAAACACCAGGCTACCTTGATGGTAACTGAATTCCATGGAGCCCCTGTGCTGGTTAGACCAGCTGAACCTAGTGAAAAGAGGTGACATCCTCACTCAGAATGGATGACGCCTACCATCCATGTTTGGTCGAGGAGATCGAGTTTGTTGGAAGGTGGTCAAGGTGTTACATAGATGCCTCCCATGAAAATAGAACTCAAAGATGACTGAAATAAAATAAATTAAAAAAAAAAAGTGTGTGTCCGTTAGGGCTCTGTGGCAGCCAGCAGTCACGATTGGCCACCTGAGGAGGAAGAAAATGTGTCAGCCAAAGAGTGATTTTAAGTCTGGAAACTAGAGTCCGCCAGGGTGGGCAGGGACCAAATGATGCGCTTGCTGCAACTCAGGAGACCGAGGGCTGAAAACTCGGGGGGGGGGGGGGCCAAGGAGTGCCGACTACCAAAAATACACAAGAAATAAACATTGTTGGGACAAACAAGATAATAGGGTCCTACTGATATTTTCATATCCTTAACATAACTGTTTGAAGTGGAGGAAAGTATAGTTTACCATTTTAGAGAAATTAAAAAAAAACAGGAAAATGAAATAAATTCAAGTAAGTTCATTACTCTCTCATGGGTGCTCCAGTAACCTTGTGTTCAGGATCCAGGTTGCTCTGCCTGTCCTCAGGTAGAACCGTCAATCATCCCACAGGCTGGGAACAAACACCTGCCTTCTCAAAGTGCCATCCTCATTTCGTCCTCCAAGTGACCCTGACACAGGCCCCGTGCTGCCGCGAAGATGCAGCCAGAGGCGACCTAGAGGGAGAAAGCTGGTGGAGCTGACAGCCACACCCGGGCGGATTTTGTTACTGGGGATCAAACCCAGGGCTGGATATGGGCAGCCTGCTGAGCGCAGGCCCCACCACTGAGCTCCCTCCAGCTTCTGCTGAGACTCTTGGATTCCTCTATTATCTTAATCACAGACTGGGAGGAGAAAGAGAAGATAGCCCTGCAGAATGGAAGGAGCAGCTCTGCCCTGTGGTGTCTCCGGTCATTGACTAAATCCCAGCATTTGCTGAGTCATCCTCACTCCCCCCTGAGGTCTAAAATAAATTTCAGAAGATGGCCACATGCAGTGTGCCTCAGGACCGGATAGAACCTGCCTTTGCTTTATAGCTAGTATCCACTTATGAGAGAGTACATACCATGTGCATCTTTAAAAATATGGAACATGCCATGAATTTGCGTGTCATCCTTGCGAAGGGCCATGCTAATCTTCTCTGTATCGTTCCAATCTTAGTATATTGCTGCTGGAGTGAGTACCAGGATCTCTTTTTTTAATTAACTATATATATATATATATATATATATATATATATATATATTTGTTTACATACCATCATATATGTGGAATGCTTACATCTCGCTAATTATCACATCCGTCACCCTCATGCTTACCATTTTTCTAGCTAGAAAACTATTGAAACGGTCAGGACTTTCAAGTATGTTCTCCATTACTTGGCCACCATGCTGCGCAGCAGACCTGTGGAACTTAGTTCTCCTATCTAACTGAAGCTTTATATGCCTTGGCCGTCATCTCCCGATTCAGAAGTCCTGACGCTTCTGCAAGACTTTGGGATCCTCAGATGACCTTCCCATTTTTGTTCTTTAATGATATGATGTTGGGGTCCCCCAGCCGCCTACAAGCCAGGGAGAGGCTGCCGCCAAAGGGGTGTAGGTTTCCCGCAGCGAGCGGCAGAGCTGGTCCTGCCATGCGGACGGGTGCAGCAGATAAAAGACTTACACTTACGTTAAGGGTAAACATTTATTACTTAAAGAAGAAGGAGAGAAAGAAAGGCAGAAATAAAAAAGAGGACAGAGAGAGGAAAACACGTGTGCACACGCTAGGAGAGAGGGACAGAAGAGAAAGAGTTAAGATGGCGACCAGGAGGTCAGAAGTGGCTGGAGTGGGCGTGGCTTGCTCTTAAAGGGACCAGACCCAAAGGAATAACACCCATCACCCTCAAAACAAAGCACTAATTTCAAGTCTCAAATTTTATCCTAATATAGAATTTTTTTTAAAACAAATGATATTGTGCCTTTTATTCTGGGCTCTCTGAACAACGGTCAATGGAAAGCTAAATGATTATCAGTATCTCCAACCCAGAGGAAATCATAGTCACCTATATGGCTTCTGACACAAGAAATAAACAATGGGCATCGAACCATACGCCATCTTAATGATGACATGCTATGTTCTGGGCACTTTAGGAAGATTTTTTTTTCTCCATTCTATGCTTTTCTACTTTTAAAAATTAAATTGTGGAGCTGCAGTCATCAGCAGCGAAGAGCACTGGCTCCATTTCCAGAGGACCCAACTTCAATTCCCAACACAAATATGGTGGGTCTCCACTGTCCCCGTGGATCCAACATCCTCTTCTGGCATCCTCAGGCACTGTGCTCACATGGTACACATGCGTGGACACAGATGTACACGCAGATAAAACGTCCACATGCATAAATAAAATGAAAAGCTTTCAATTTTATTTACTTTTATAATGTAAAAGAACATTCATTAAGAAGAATGCCTGATACACTGTGATTAATCTGAGATTAATCACTTATGTACCACATACTCTAATGCTCATAAAAGAGTCTATTATGGGCAATGGAAGTGTAAGTAGGTATAACTGTTACTGATAAATGCCTTCCAACCAAAGATAAATAAGGAAGACAAACACATTAGCTTTCTGCATCAGTAGATCCATCCAGTCATGGAGGAGAATGTGGTTAGATTAATAATAAGTACTCTTGTTTGAACACACACAGACATCCCCTTAAACAGTACAGCTATTTCCATAGCTTTTGCATTGCATATTATATGGGTAACTTGACGTATGCAGGAAGATGTTCATGGGATATGTGCAGATATGATGCCATTTCATAAGCTACTTGATCAGCATCAGTCTTTGGGATCTGTAGAGGCCCGGAAGACACCCCCTAGGATCCTAAGGGATGACTGTATCTTTATTTGTGATCAAACCTGGGATGTCCTGCTTTCCCTTCCCACTGTCCTTGCTGCCACCGCTGAGATTTTTGGATCTTTTCTTCCTGACTCCTGGACTTGACTCATTCAAGGGCTGCTGGGGAGTGGATCTGTCAGTCCCTATAGCCCATTTGTGATCCCTACTCTGTGTTTTGAAATCCTAGCTCTCTGCTTTTGTTTTCTTTTCCTTTAAAAAGTCATTGAAGTCCAGAGTGTTGGCGGTGACCTTTGGAAATGTTTTTACAGCTCACAGAGACTTCCTGACATGTTTTATTAGCTCTCGGTGGTAACTAATAAAGTGAGCTCGAACAAAACCGCCTCCAGGAGAACCACTCGCCAGACTTATCAGGAAGGAGGCCTGGTGACAGGACTCTTGGCTACTGCCCTCTGTCTGGTCCAGCAGACCGGCTGAAGAAGGAGGGCATCCCTTCAGGGGACACAGTGACCAGCTCATTCCCAGAGAAGCTCCAGTATAGAAAGTTCCTTGCCCTTGCCAAGCAGGGGCACCATTTCTGGAGGAATCAATGGACCAAGTATTTCACAGAGCTTTTATGTTCTTCCTTTCTAGTAGTCAGTTGTGAACCTGGACTGGCCAACATTTCAAACAGGAGAGTGGCAAACACAACCCACTCTGACAGCTTTAGGTCTTTCTTCTGTGTTTTATGTTTTTCTGTGTGCAGAGTCTCTTAGCATAGACGTATACAGTGCGGACTATGGATTCCCAGAGACTTTCTTTCCTCTTCTGCCTGTACATTGACAGGCTGGGTGATGTGGAGCAAATGGCTGCCCAAAACTTGGTTTCTTTTTACGGAAAGAGGGGATAGTGTTCATAGGGTCATTGTAAAGGCTAGTACATGACAATATGAAACAGTGCTTGAAAACAAAGCACTTAAAACACAAACTAGAAAATTATTTCATCGGATTCCTTGGAGGGCCATACTGGGGACCGTTCGTGGAATGGCATTTGTCTGCGTGTCTCCTTTTGCCCAGGTCCACCATTTGCACAGCTTCTAGGACATGATTAACACTGAGACATCATTGTCATGGAACAAAGTGTGACTCGAGCGCTACCCTTCACACACCTAACGAGTCTGTGTTATTAAGAAAAAGATTGCTGAAAGGCAGGTAGTAACATTACTTCTGTTTTGTTGTTGTGTGCTCGGTTGAGACAGGATCTTACTATATAGACCAGGCTAACCTCAAACTCACAGAGATCCACCTGCCTCTGGCTCTCACGGGCTGGTATTAAAGACACACACCCAGCAACATCCCTTACCTCTGAATAAACTACTTTCAGCCACTGTCACCCTGTGAATACAGTAGTTTACTGAAGCTATCCTCTTTCCGATCTTGCGCCTATCTTAAGGCAAGACTATGTATGAGTAAAGGGTTTTATGCCTGTACTAAGCCACATCTCAGCCTGACTAAATTTAAGGCGCCAGAAGTCCGGGACCACTCTGACTTATTCATCTGGGCTGTGATAGCAAATTCCCTAGACAGGATGATTTAATAACACAGATTAGTGTTTCACAGTTCTGAAGACTGGAACCCAAGATTAGGGTACCAGAATCAGTGGTTCTGACAGGTTGCACATTGCCTTCTGCCCCTACAGACAGGTAACGGTTCCTAAGAATAACAAGTAAGCTAGAAAACAAACATAGCAGGAATCTAGTGATGGGGAATTTGGAGAAAACCATCTGATTATAGTCATAGAGACACAGAGGTGGAAAGCTACACTGACAAGAGTGGTCACAGGCGTCACACAGACGAGGACCTGAGAAGAGATCCTGGCTTGCACAAAGAACTGGAAAGAAGTCTGTTTGCCTGGAGTGTGCTCAGTGGGAAAATAAGGAAAGAGCGTGAACACGGATGGCTAGGCAGGGGCCTGGGACTTCAGGCTTTGGTTCTCGAGCTCCAGCATGTATCAGGAGCACTGAAAGCATAGCTGATGGCCGCTCTACCCCAGAATCTCAGATCTAGAAATGGCAAGGTCCTTAGACCAGTAAGGCCTAAGGACCACCATTCCTAACCCTAACACGAGGCTTTGTAGGGCATCATACGAGATTTGGAGTTCATTTGCAACAATAGTGGGGTTCCATCAAAGAACAGTAAGGATGATAGGTCTTAATAATAATTCTTCAGATGATGACTCCTGCCATTGCCTAGAGAATTAATTAGAAATTGTCAAGAATACAAGTGAGGTGACTTAGATGCTATGCTTACTGGTCAGGTGAGGGCAGTGGCCAAAGAGAGAAGAGGGAGCTTTGAGCATCACCTTGGGAGCTGGCAGCAACAGAATCTGCCTGTGGGTGGATGTGACGGAAATAAAAAAAGGTGGATGCCAGGCAGTGGGTGGCACAACTCTAATCCCAGCACTCGGGAGGCAGAGGCAGGTGGATCTCTGTGGGTATGAGGTCTACAGAGTGAGTTCGAGGACAGCTAGGGCTGTTACACAGAGAAACCCTGTCTCAAAAAACCAATCAGTCAGTCAGTCAATTAATCAATAAAAAGAAGCAGAGCTAGAAGTGCCGAGTCTGGAATTAATTCCAGTATATGGGAAGCTGAGGTAGGAGGATTACCTTGGGTTCAAGGTCAGCCTGGCCTACCAAGTGAGACTATCTCAAAGGGAGAAGAAAAAAAAAACTAAACTAAAATCAGAAGGGGAGGACACTGCCTAGGTCTCTAAGCTTGAGCAATAGGAGAGATAGTCAAGGCATCTGCCAAGAAGGGGAATACAGCCGTAGGAGAGAGAGGAAGGAAAAGACATCAGGTGGTTTCTAGACAGGCACATTTGAAGAACATCTCCGTGGTGGAGTCAGGGCTTAGCATGTATGTATGCCTCCGTGAGTGAATTAAAAACAGCAATGGCCGTAGCCTCCTGGTCATTGCTCAGCTGAGAACTGTACATGAGTTTTGAAGACCCAGCAGTCCAGCAGCAGCATACTCTCTGCACACGCCATTTCAGATGCAGGTGAGGCTCTTTGGGAAGCTGGATTAGCTCCTGGGTGGCTGACATTACTAGGACATCCAGCCTAGAGAAACAGATCCTGTGGGCCCATGGTGGGGTTTTTGTTTCTCGTTTTAAGATCATATATGTCTTAGTTAATAGTTTCTATGCTGTAGTCAAACCCCATGATGATGAGCAACTTGGGGAGTAAAGTTTTATTTCCGTTTAATCCTCATAGTCCATCTTCCAGTAAAGTCAGGGCAGAACTCAAGGCAGAAACCTGGAGGCAGGAGCGGATGCAGCAGCATGGAGGGATGCTGCTCCTCATG